CTTCTGTACTTAACAAACCAAAGCCGACCAACTCGGAAACAATTCAGCGCTGGCTGCAAGCATCGTTAATCTTCTTGAATCTTGTATCTGTTGCAACGCGTTGTCCGTCAGACACACGGTTTATTGTCATTAGCTCAAAACCGATCTTTACAGTTTTACAACCACAGCAAACAGCTACACGGGACTGACTCCATAGACCAGAACTGTTTCTTCGTCACCTCTGTCTTCATCCTGTCCTTTCTTTCTTCCACTGATTGTATTCCCGATTGAGCGTGAGTCTTGCTCTCCCCGGGATCAGAATTTTCTTACCTACCCCACGGGTTAGGGCACGTTCTCTGAACCGGCAAGGCAACGGAGTGAGATCAACAACTGGAGACTTCGGATCAATTTCTCATGGCTGTCTAAGGGGTTGAGCATGCAGGTGTAAAAGTCTTTTTGAGTTAAGGACTGGATCAGACAGATCCAATCTCTTGATACCTTTTGGTTTCGGATGTGTTTCTTAGCCTTCAAACCACTGCTGTTAAAAACTGGTTTGAATGACTTTCTGAATCTTATTTCAAATCACTTCTGCTGCTAAACTTCCAGCGGTGCATTGGTGGTTCAATGGTAGAATTCTCGCCTCCCACGCGGGAGACCCGGGTTCGATTCCCGGCCAATGCATTAGTATCGCTGAGTTCCCTTTTCACCAGGCAAAGTGTGCCCTGTGCTCATTTAGGTAATCTTGTTCCTGGTGGAAGCCAGTTCAAGACTAAAAACAACCAAGGACAGGACTCACTCCTATCTCCAGTGAAACACATTCAGGAAACCACCTACCCACCTAGCAGTTCTTGAAATTATCCAACATCCCCTCAGCCTCACTTGCAAATTAACACTTTATTTGTTTTTTCCTTTCCAGCTGGATCACTTCAGTTTTCACTACTGGTACTACAGCCACTCACAGGGGACTTTACTGCACAAATATCCCTCAAGTCGCTGAGCAACTTCCTGGATTACAACTGATTTACCTAATCCAGGAGTCAGGTCATCTACTCAGAACCACTAAGGCAGTACTTGTAGGTGGACAAAGGAAGATTTAGGCTCAGAAGCTATAAACACCTGGGTTTTTGATTTTGTTTTTCCTGTAGAGGTCTGTTATACAGTGGGAAAGACCCTTTGAATTGGAGTTAAGAGTTGGATCAGACCAATCCGATTCTTTTTCTTCCCTAGGTTAGAATTTTCTTGCCTCAGGACTAGCAGATGGCTGTCGCTAGACTCCCATGTAGTAGACTGTGGTTTGAGTTCTGGACCCATGGCTTAAAACTCATGCCAGGCACGTGTGCATGCATATCCAAAATCCCGAGAAGATAATGGAGAAGAAGGGATTGTGGGGTGGCCATTCCTCCAGCGGGTGATTTCTTGCTTTCTGTCTCTCTTGTCTCTTTCTGTCTCCCAGAGGAGCACACACAACCTATAGTTTCTCTGAGAAAAGAATTGACTTGCATCATCACAGGTGACTCATCCATAGGTTAGGAAGGTAAATGATTCTACCTCCTACACCTCAGGGCTACCCAGGGTAATGCTGGGGCTGACGCTCATCTTCTCCCCTCACTTTCATTTCAGGAGATGTCCTAACCTGCAAGGCCAGTGACCTTGTGGTGTGGCCGATAAGGCCATGTGACCCAGCCCTCACTTCACAAGTACAGAGCACTCTAGGAAGGAGAAGGTGGTGTGCAGAGCCATTTAGAAGAAAAGAAGGTGGGAAGAGATTCCAGGGAAACCCAGTTATAGGAGGAAACTGCTCAGTTCAGTGGCCAGACCGCCTCACTCTGCACCTGTGGTCCTGTGACCTCCAGCCTTGCCCCCTGGGATCTTCTCAGAACTCTGGCTGCTCTCAGAGCTCAGTCCCAGACAGGTCTTCTTTCCTTCTCCCCTATTAACCACATTGAGATCTGAATCCTCTTGCTTTTTTTTTTTTTTTTTTGGAAGAGGTTTTTGCTATAGGGCACGTGCGCTTGCCAGACAGACCGAGAGAGACAGAGAGACAGAAAGTGAGAAATCAGGGGGAGATGGTCACACCGCAATCCCTTCTCCTCCATTCTCCTCTAGGGATCTTGGGCACCTCCCCACCGGGTCCGGGACACGAACTGCGACTAAATGGGAGTCCAGCGACATAGCCATTATGCTAACTGTTGGTCCCCTCTTGCTTTAATTTTTAAAATCTTTTCTTTCTCTATTTTTTTTCCTAGAGGGCTCATGCGCTCACCAGAGAGAGACAGAGAGACAGAGAGAGGAGAGCACTGTTTCCACCCCTCTGCTCCTGACTGTGGGGAATGGTCTCACAGCAATTCCTTCTCTTACACTTCCCTCCCCTGTTGGGTTTGGGCTGCACCCATACACGCCCATATATTTCTCAAGTTGCCGGTTCCTGGAACAAATTGCGCTTCAGCCATTGGGATCTGGCTGCCTTAACCACCAGCCGTGGAATTGGCCCCTTTTATGCATTTTTTTAAACACAAGGAATAAATGGATTTATGCTCTTTGTAAGTTATTCACATGATAGAATACACAGAAAAAAAAATGGAATTTCTCTCCTCCACACAAATGTCCCAAAGGACAACCAGTGTTACCCACATGACAACCACAACTCTGTTTTTTTTTTTTTTAATAATTCCCTACAAATCTGACTTGTCTAACTCAGTCTATTGGGCAAAGCTTTTTCTCCTCTCTCCACTCCCACATGAGGAGGTCAAGTCACCATTCTCTACGTAAGAGTGACAAGTGTGTGGGACTAGCAGGTTGCGTGGCGGGTAAGGGTGTTGGACTCCTACATGGCTGACAATGGTCCGAGTCCCGGGCCTGGTGAGTTGCTTTCTCACTTTCCCTCTCTCTCGCTCTCACTCTGGTCAAATTTAAGTAAATACATAAATGAATAAAGTTAAATATAATTATTCAACCCCCGCTCCCCCAAGAGTGATGAGTATGTAGATGCTCTGGTGTAGGTTGTGCACAGGTGGGCATGGGAGAGTGTGGGCAGTGTCTGGGCCTCTGGGATCATAAACACCAGCTGTAGGAGGCCGGCGGATTTACGACTCATTATTGTTTTTTCAGACCTGTATTTGAGACTACCCACATGGTGAATACTAAAGCCACTCAGTGGTTTCTCACCTTCTCTGCCTCTATCTCAGGGGATAGTTTGTTCTTTCCCCCTTGTCTCCCTGGCACCTCTGGCACCAGCAGCTCAGGCACAGCCACTGGTACTGACACAGCCCTAAGGGGGCATTACAATCAGCTGGGGCAGTAAGGGACAATCCAGCAGGTGGCTCAGTTCCCAGACTTGGTGGGTGCAGAAGTGAAGGTTCTATACTTGGGGTCACCCCAGTTCTGGGAGCATCCTGTGCGGAACTAAGTCCCCAAAACTGGTCCGGGGTGCCAGCCACTCAGCCAGGGCACCCCACCCTGTCTCAGCAGCACTGACCCCTGAAGGCTGCTGACCAGGGAAGCGCCGGCCTCAGTGAGCACGTTCCTCCTCTTCCTGAGACTGTGGCCGCCCTTCCCAGTGTCCTGGAGCCTGCGCTGTGCAGACAGGGAGGGGCAGGGGGCAGGGAGGACTGAGGCTGGGGAGAGGGAGGAGCTGGAGGATGAGGAGGAAGGTGAGGAGAAGCAGAGAGAGAGGGTCTGAGTGAGACAGAGCAGGAGGAAGGGACAATCCCAGGACTTTCCAAACCAGTTCCGACCTCATCAGCCTCATGTTTGAGGGGAGAGGACAGTTTCAGAGAAAAGGTAAAGGACACTTCCCTGGGGAGTGGGAGGCCTGGAGACCCCTTCCCTGTCCCTAATCCCAGAGGGGATTTAGGATAGTTCTTGTCCTAGGAGACACAAACCTGAAGACACAGACAAACCTGCCCCAATAGATGAGGGCCTGTGGAGCTACTGACCAGGAGAAAATCCCGGGAGGGAGGTTCAGGGGGACGGCGGAGGCTGGGAAAGGACTCTTCCCAGAGAACACACACATGGTGGTTCCATGGTGTAATGGTGAGCACTCTGGACTCTGAATCCAGCGATCCGAGTTCAAGTCTCGGTGGAACCTCACCAGCCAAACCTGCCCCAATAGATGAGGGCCTGTGGAGCTACTGACCAGGAGAAAATCCCGGGAGGGAGGTTCAGGGGGACGGCGGAGGCTGGGAAAGGACTCTTCCCAGAGAACACACACATGGTGGTTCCATGGTGTAATGGTGAGCACTCTGGACTCTGAATCCAGCGATCCGAGTTCAAGTCTCGGTGGAACCTCACCAGCTAGGGTGCTGTTTTTTGTCTGGCAGCGCAACGTTCCCCGAGGGGAACGAGCCACTCCCGCAGTAAATGACGTCCTTTCCCTCCCGGTCCCTCCTCGTCCTGGACGCGGGAGAGGAAGGTCTTCCCCAGGAAGGAGGCTCCGGCCTGGCGGCTCCAGGTCCCCGCGTCTCCCCCCCCCGCCATTTCCTCTGCGCAGCCGCGGCCCCACGTCCTCCCTCCCTCCCCTCCCAGGTGAAGGGCTCCTAGAAACCGGGTCCCCACATTGGCCCGGTCCACACCGAAGGGCCGACACCTGGGATCGGGGTGGCAGGTCTTGGGGTGTCCTGCTCTTTGGGAGCTGCCTGGTCCCTGCAGCTCTGCCGGTTGCCGCCATCCGAGGCCCCGCCCCGCGACCCAGCAGGTCCCCGCGCTGTCCCGGGTGGCTCCGGCCTGGGGGGGGGTCCCCTAAAGAAGCCGCCCCGCTAACTCCCACACCCCGGGGTGTCTTTCGCCCCGACACCGGGGAACTGGCCGCGTCCGGGTTTCCTTCCAGGCAGTAGAACGTTTTATAGGAGATCGCGTCTGGGCTCTGTCCCTAACCCTAACCCTAACCCTGTCCTGAGGTCACAGTGTCGTGTCCGGGGTCACGGGGTTGGGCACGTTTCCGTCTGTCCATCAGATTCGTCCCGCATCCGACGCTCGAGACCCGGAGTGGCCGGGGGGGGCCGCCGGGAGTCTAGGGTCGGGGGGCCCAGGGTCCCAGACTCAAGGCCCGGGTCGACCCCTCCCGGCCAAAGGTGACAACGGCCCGGGCAGCTCGATGGTCTCGGGGTCCCCGTCCTCCCGCCAGGTTTCTCTGCTCCAGGACGACGCCCCTAGGACAGGTGAGGAAAACGGATTTCCATTCGCTCCTTTCTCCGGGACACTTTAGCTTAGTTCCTTGTAGGCTCTGGAGCGCATGCATTTGCCGAGGGAAACAGAGACAAGAAGGAAAGAGAACGCACCCTCCAGGGGATGGCCCGCCGCCAGCCCTTCCCCTCTGTGGATTTTTGGGGAAGTATTTTTCAAGCCAAGGGTCTGTCTCTGACCACAAGGTCGGCCGCCTGGGATCCAGCCGCCCTAACCACCGCCCCCTGCTGGCCCATTAGTGGAACAATTGAGTAATAGCTGAGGGCTTTGTAGACCCTTCCTACCTGCTTAAAATGTTCTCCCCCAATTGAAAACTAAATGAATAAAATGAAAAGTTCTCCCCCAGACGATAGAGATCAGGACATGTACCTGTGGGGAGGAATGTTAAGAGGCAGACAGTTCAAATGTACCAGAAATAGTGGAATTCTGTTCAGCTAATTTGTTCTTAGGACTTGATTCATTTTTTCCTCTTCAGAAAGCCTCTCTCTCCTGAACTAAGATGTACATGGAGGTTCCTTGAATGTGGAAGAATTGGACAACACAGATGTGTGGTGAGTCCTGATAGATGTCTAAGCGAAAGGTCAGGAAAGGCAGAGGGCCTGTATTTTCGTAGTGGGACAAAGCACCGTCATTTTACTAGGGCAGGGCTGGCAGCCCGGGGAGGGATACATGCAATGGAGAGTGTCCTGAGAGCAGCACTCGCTCAGTACTAGGACCAGATAGCAGGCACCTCCAGGAATGCAGGCCAGGCCACCACCCACTCTGGTGTCCTCAGCGCTCAAACGTTATTCGCTGCTGTTAGAGGTGTGTGCCTCTCTGGATGGGACAGTCGATGCAGGCAGTACATGATGAGAATCCTAACATTTCTTACAAGCCCATTGTAATTCTTGTCCCACTTTAATTCCAGGTTCCCACGAATAGACTCCTGAGGCATCGTTTTCTCACAGACTTGATGTGTTTTTTTGACCGTCTTCGGTCGCTATAGTGATGATATAAACATTTTCAGGCTATCGACATATCTTGCTGTGAAAACTCCCCCTAAAACCAGTGAGAAGCTTCAGAGGCAAATGGATGTCCTTTTGATCTGTCCACTGAGTGAAGACTAGGAGATCTTCCAGCGTGTAGGAAAAGTACGAATCTCTTCTGGGTAACCCAACGTGGCAAGTTAAAAGCAGGGATTCTTACTCTATACTTTGGAGTCAAACAGACATTTCTTTTTTTAGAGATTTTTTTTCCTATAGGGCGCGTGCACTTGCCATAAAGACAGAGAGAGACAGAGAGATAGAAAGCCAGGAATCACCCCCGGGGGGATGGCCACCTCACAATCCCTTCTCTTCCATTCTCCTCTCAGACTATTGGGAACGCATGCACGTGCGCCCAGTGTGAGTTCAAGTCACCACGTTCCAGGACTCAAACTGTGATCGACTACATGGGAGTCCACCGACATAGCCATTACGTCAACTGCGGGTCCCCAAAACAGACCATCTCACAGAAGTTCTTCATTCTGATTGCTGTCACTCATCGATCGAGCAGCAGAAGGTAAAGAGGTTTCTGGGGAAGAACACTGCCTATCTTGCCAATGTCTCTTCTCA